TACCGCTTTTCTAACCCTCGTTCGTCCTTTTGACAAGGGCAATAGCCTGCTGCTTTCCATCGCTAATAGGCAAATCAAACAAACTGTCTATTGGTTCGCTACTAAAAGTGTCGTTGCTAACAGGTAAACTGAGGTTTGACGGTGAAACAACAGATGCAAAGTCCGACAACTGGGCAGTGCCTTCCATTATTTCCCGACAGAGAAGACCTGAGCTTTCTAGGCCCTTCACAAACCATTCAAAGTTCTTGGCTAGAGAGGCAAACAGAGACAGCAAATTTGCATAGTAACCGGACTGCATATTACTGGCGTGGAACGCCCAGTTCTGCGCAATACCGTCACTACAACGGTAGCGTAAACCTTCGCTACTGGACAGAAAAGCACACTGTCTACGATTCAAGCCAGTACAAGCCTTATGTTATCAACGTTTACAGGTAGCACACTGCAAGGCCCCGGACGAATCTGTCTTCTCTTCTAGACACCCCGCTTCGCCACACATAACCAGTGAGTTGCGGAAAGATGACTTAGCGAGTTTAAGCAGCAATTGACAACCATCGCGACGGACGTGGTTCAGAGAACGCATTGAATTTAATAGATAAGCAGCTACGGTGAACCGCGGAACGGTGCCCATCTATGCAATCGACGAGGGCTCCAGTCGGAAGGACCACGTTTGACACGAGTGCATTGCTATGGACGCACCAAGTCACAAAGCCGAAGGGGACTCCAAGAATCTAGCAACAGGATCTGCTAGAAAGCAGAAAACGACAAGGGATAAATGATGATCCATCGGTCAGTTTATTCACACAGAGCGGATCCCAAGTATTGATTCAACTAAATCCGCCTTTGACGAATGGAAAAGAACGCACGAAAGGCGAGGAGGAGCTGAATAGCTTCCAGTGGTCACACGACAGGTAATGATCCCAGGCCTCAGTGAAAACAACGGAAAAAGGTTATTCGCAGGAAACTTCGCCAAAAGCAAGTTTCCAGTGATTATTTCGACGCGACCATCCTCGACAGGACTGATTCCGCTAAAGTGGGCACTTCTTGGCCCTTTTTGCTCACACGATGATTAACTAATCAGTATGCTCCTCAGTGTTTGTCAAACACAATCTTTCGATGCAAGCTAAGTACAGTAAAACTGCCTCTGTCAAATGAAACATGGCACCCAAGAGGCAAGCGGTAGCTTGATAGCGTCTAGGACTGAGAGTCAGGACCGTCCGCCAAAGTAATCTGCTTGATTACAGCAATGAAATTATCTAAGGAACGGGGTAAAGTTTTCGCGCTCAGTATCTTTCGAATACGCTTCTAGACCAAATATGAAAGCAAAACCTTCCAGCTAGAGCGAGAGCGTAGGATAAATTGAAAACAGCTGAGCGTAATTTGGGAGTGGTACTGGTTACTGTACTGGCCGCTAAGGAGGGATGTTATGAAGTACGTTGTTAAGGCTTGGTAAGGGTTTATTAAAGGTATATTGATTTAGTGGAACTGAAAATGATGGTGCATTATTTTAGGATGTAGAAAACGGTGTTTGTTTTAGTGCGCAGGTGTTGTTTCGGTTTCGCTGCAATGGCTGTGGATGATACTGTTGCGTTCCGCGCTACTTTTCGCCAATATTATAAGGCATTTGATGAATTCGAGGAAGATTTGAGGCGGTTTCAAGTTCAGACGGCGACAAGTTTTTACAAATATGACGTATTGACCGCTGTGTCGTATAAGAAGAGGTCAGGTCAAGAGCTACCCGACGGGATGCGGTACAAATGGGTACAATATCGTTGTGTCCATTGCAACAGGAAAGGAGAAGGTGGCAGTCGGTAAGTGCGAACGTTGTGTTATGTGTACTTCATGTTGCATAGGTATGTCAGCCTCGGTTGTAAAGCGAGCATAGCCATCAGTGCGAAGGGCATTTACTATGAGATAGGCTCGCATTGTTTGGTGCATAACCATATTTTTCACTTGGGAAACTCAAGGTTGTACGTTCGTAACCGATGCCTGACTCCCGAGGCGGACCGACAGGTGTTTGATTTAAGGCAGTGCTTCCGTAATACCGGAGAACTGAGAGACTATGTGTTAGAAAGCTATAACAAACGACTGAATCGACAGGACCTCCTTTCGCTCTGCCATTGCTTAGGTGGGATGTCTAGGGGTAACGATGTAAACGCGGTTGCGGAATTGTTGAGTAAGAATGAAGCTGTGCGTGTAAAAAGGGATGGATCGCAGGTGCGATTCCTATTTTTCGTTCCTGCATCGATGACCTCCATAGTGGCGAAATACGGGGACGTGCTTGTTGCAGATGCCACGCATCAGGTGAATTGTGGTGGTTACATTCTTTGGCACTGCATGGTAATTGACGGTTTCGGCGTAGGTCGCAGCGTGTTTTACGCCTTGATGCCCAACGAGACGGCAGGCAGTTACCTGGAGGTTGCTCGGGGATGTTCGAAATGTTGCCCACCACTCTATCAGCGATGCCTATAATCATGCATAGGTGCCCGGGGCAAACGCAGGCATTTAAGTCGGTATATCCAGGGGCCAAGGTAACATTACGCCGGTCCAATTCCTGCGGGATGTTTCACGCAAATGCTAGTCTCTGGCAAAAGTGACTAAGGCAGACAGTTTTGCTGAAGCAGTGGATGCCCAGAGTAGTCTACACAAAGACCGAAGTACAGGTTAAGGTGCTGCTTAGAGCTATAAGGGTTAGAAGCAAAGAGGCGTTCAAGTGCCTCAGTCTGACATGTTTGCCCTTCGCAGGAAGCTTGGCGTACTACAGAATGCGCAGTGTGCAAGTTGAGCGCGTTCACCACAAACAGCGTGGAGAACGAGCATAAGCATCTCAAGTGTGGATTAAGCAAAAGGACATCGCTTTTGCAACGTTTTGAGGCAGTTGTACGGAGAGCACGCGATGCGGAATCGCGTTGGACCACGTCAGTATCCAAGTTGCGGATGTCGAAACCACACAACATTCCGGGAACTGGGCAATTGAAGGAGTTGATTTCTTGCCTTTCTTCTTATGCTGCTTGCAAATTTATGCAGCACAGTTCTTCGGAGACGGTCACATCAATACGACCTAACGGCATGCGTATGAATTATCAGGTAAGTTTGACCGAAGGCACACCGTTGTTGTGGGTAATAAAGTGAGCTACGATTGCTGGTCCCTTAGTCAGCGGGATATGCCATACGCACACATTGTGCGAGTTGCTGGCATTTTAACCGCCGACATAACCCCTTATGCACCGAAGCCGTTGGGCAATGCGGACCATCAGATTCCCATCCGGATTGGGAAACCTTCCCTGCGGAACTTGCACCGCTGCCCTCTACATCCGCCTCCCCGCAGGTTGCGTTAACGCGTGAGGCGAAGTTGTCCTGTGCCAACCGGCAGTTCGGTGAGATAACTGTTGCCATGGCCAGTCTGGGTACAATGGCTTCCCTTGGGGCGCAGCAGTTCTACCGAAGCAGCCTGAATACGTTGCTTCGTAGGCAGAGCTTGGTGTCAGTTGGAAATTGCCTTCCTGACAACGTCGACCAGGCGGACGCCATACCACAACGTCACCGGCCCAAGGCAACAAAAAGGAGACAGTCGCTGTCGCCTAGGGTGATGGAACCCCTCAAGCTGTCGACCGAAAGGCACCCGCTGTACTTCCGACGCATCCCGACTGTCACTTCCGCAGTGTACAAAACCGCGAATAAACGCGCCAGAGCAGGGAATATGCAACCTGCTAGCAAGAACAAAAACGCGTGCATCACTTGCGACACCGAAGATGGACCACAAACCAGCGGAGACCTCGTTCACTAGGTTATGTGCTGCAAATGCAACCGATGGCTTCATCAGGTATGTGCGGCGTACGACGGAGACGAGGAGCACCATACGTTCGTCTTTTGCATGTGAGTTCACCGTTTCTAACCCAATTTCCCTTCGTGCATGCTCATGAGAACGACAAACGCCCTTTTTAGGACCACCCACTGGTGCTGCAGCTGCGTGCATCTCCCGGATGGTAACGCAAGCTGCTTGAAGCTGCTGGGTACCGCTTGGAACATGCCGCATGGCAGCCTAGTGGGTGGCTCTAAGAAAAACGAGGGTTATGCCTTAATGTTCAGTTGTTTGACAACAGAACCCCATTCTGAGTAGCAATTCATATACACGGTATGCCAGGCGTACTGCCGCTAAACATGATTGCTCAGTTAGCGTGGTATGAAACAGGTGACGGTAAATCATTTTCGTCCCGTAGTATTTATGCACACGTTACTACGTTTTCACTTTGTATCCACATGTCGTTCCATGGTTCCCCGCAAGTGTCCGCACGAAACGCCCTTAATGGCATCCTTCACCAGGTACTTTCAGCATTTATTTCATACTCCTTTTGTCATTGCATGGAATATAGCCCGGACCTCAGTGATCCACTGTGTTGACGCGACAAACCAATACTGTCCTCAACATCAGCGTGAGCACTTTGCATGGGCCTGAGCAACACTTCCGCTGCGTAACGTGCACCTTTACCCTGGTATTACATTGACGCTGTATTGCTGTGACACCTTCTGTGGAGCCGGCAATATCCTCTGTTTGGTAGCGGCCAGCTTATGTGAGTAGTTAGTTACCTGTATTGCATACGGTAGCATAGCTGTGACATCCTTAGAGGAGTCAGCCACCTCTAAGTCTTGCAAGCAGCCAGCTTATGATAGTTGTCGGTTAGCTCTATTGAATATGGTAGCCTGTCTGTGACGTCTTAAGTGGAGCCGGCAACATCCAACAATTACCAACGTCCAGCCTATGAATATTCATTTAGCTCTATTGTATTTGGTAGCATCCCTTTGACATCATAAGTGGCGTCCGAAACCCTAACACTTGCAGGCCGCCAGCTTATTTGAGTAGTCAGATCGCTCTTTTACATATGGTGGCGTTGCTGTGCCATCTTCTGTGTTAGTTCACAGTTCACTCCAATGCACCTTGCAGCATGGCTGTAAGAAAGTAAATGGAGCCGGCAACATATTTTAATCACTGACCACTAGCTTACTTTAATATGCCGTTTCATGTACTACGTATGCTGAGCTAATTAATCACCTCGTCATCTCTTTGTCGTCCGACGAAATGCCTTTGATAACATGTATACCTATTCGCAGTCTACCGCTTAATTTTCGAACCGAATTATTTTAAAAGCTAATTTACACTATTAAAAAGCTTGCAAGGTAAACTCCGTCATTTGCCACATAATATATAACAAGGCAAATCAAGAAACGCACGGATTTTCTAAATGCCGCCTTTTCTTTGCCTACTCTTGTCTGTTTGACATACCTCAGACTACGGCAATTACACAACATCTTTTACTGCATCAAAATTCCTTGCAAATATCGTAACCATTGCGTCTGTTATTACCGCCCACTGAACTGTTCACGACTACAGCATACACCTTTCTTATTTGTGCTCATTATTTGCCCTTACATAACACACATTAAAACCAAAACTTATGCCATTCCAAAAACAATAAAAAGGTTTAACTAAGCATTACTTTTCATATATTGTTCACAAGATGGCATAACAGTTGTTTAACTTTGCATATCTTATACAATGATGTACCCAAGTTTCACAGCCAGCAATTTAATTTCGCGTGTCATGTTGACTCAACCTTCCCCAGGTAAAGCATTTTGAAAATTGTAAACCGCGCGCGTAAAGGAATTGTCGGTACAAAGTATGAGCGCAGGGGATAATGTCTTCTCAAAACAAGCGCCTAGTACTCGACATAACATTCTATGCTTCAAAATGGGTAACCAGGTAACGCGGTAACTTGGATTTTTGGCGTGACATACTGATCAAAATTTATAGCTGAAATGTTGGGGAAAACCGTGTTCAACTAAAACATGAAGCGAAATTTGACTATTATCAAAAAGCCTCTGACCCAACATACCTTGGATCGATTAAAGGGCTAATGGACATGGCGTCTCCTTGAAGCTTTCTGGTAATTTTTGCGGTTGATCCCCTTTATGGAGGAACCAGCAAAAGAGAATACTCAGTCAGTCAGGTTTACCTCACATATACAATATCCTGATGCGCCTAAACGTCGGACAATCATAAATCGCGAGGTACGACGAAGTGTACGTGAATGGTGCAGGCAGCGACGCGCACAATCGCAACGATCCAGAGGCAACCAAGGTAGAACCACGGAAGACGAGCTGGAAACCAAGTGTGTGTATAAGTAGTTAATTGCAGCAGAGCTGTACAACAACTGCAGCGAAATAGGTAAACGTGAAAATGAAAAATAAGCAAATTATTTGCAATCGCTACAATACTCCCCCTTGAGCGTGCACTAAGAAAACGCTAGACAAAGTGCCTACGGAACGTACTGAGCAAGCTTAGGTGGAAGGAAAACAGCACGACCAGAACGTGTGTGTGTGGAGCTGCGTGTAGTCGGAGGGCACAGCGGACTCGGTGTACGGGCGTCAGCGCGTTGTTTGGTAGGGGGTACTGAGTCAGGGGCTTGCGTATGCTGAGGGGGGAAACGGGATCAGTATTATCAAATGTAGGTTCAACGTAAGCTGGTTTGAGTCGGTCGACGCTCACGGGTTCTTTTCATCCATTCTTATTCAACACAAGGTACTTGGGTTTCCGTGATAAGACCTGGTACGGGCCTTCATAGGGCGGAGTTAAAGGTCTTCGGACGGCGTCGACGCGGATGAAAACAAACGGACCCTTGTGCAAATCTGGGTGGATTTGCTGTTTACGTATGCTAGGCCGCGTACACGTTGGTCGAAAGGATAGAAAATGCCGTTTGAGACGTTCGACGTAAGAGGGGGGCCAATTCACGGGTGGTGCGAGAGTCCAGTACCATCTCACCAGGTAGTCTGAGGGTCTTCCCGAACACGAGTTCTGCCGGGCAGCCCCCAATGTCTTCTTTGATTGTATTGCGAATACCAAGCAGGATCGCAGGTAGGTACTCAGACCAGCGTGAGTCGGATGAACTAGCCATGATGGCAGCTTTTAATTGTCGATGAAAGCGCTCGACGTGGCCGTTGGCAGCGGGGTGGTACGTGGTTGTTCCTAGGTGAGTACAGCCTAATAAACGACTGAGATCACGGAACAGTGTGGAACTGAACTGAGCCCCTCTGTCGGTGGTGATGGTGGATGGAACACCGAAAAGAAAAATCCAAGATTCGACAAAAGCACGTGAAACAGGTTCGGTAGATGTGTCACCTAAATGAACAGCTTGTGGCCAACGGGTACAGCGGTCAACACATGTTAGAAGATGAGCGAAACCGTTGTAAGGAGGTAAATGGCCAACAATATCTACGTGAACGTGTCTAAAACGTGCATCAGGAAGTGAAAATGTACCTGGAGTAGTGACTGTGTGACGGTGAACTATACCGCTTTGGCACCTAAGACAATGTTTAGCCCAATGTTTAATGTCTGAACGCGTATTGTGCCAGAGGAAACGGTCAGTAATGGCCTTTACGGTGAAGCGAATACTCGGGTGTAAAAGAGTGAAAACACTCAAAAGTGACTCGACGAAATGATCGTGGGACAGAGGGTCTAAGCTTACCGGTTGAAACGTCACAGTAAACACTTGTGTCAGAGTTAAAAGCGGGCAGTTGTGTGAGCTTTAATGAGGGGTTTGACTGAAGTTGGACAAGCTCAGTGTCATCATTTTGAGCGGCCGTTTTTCTCTCCAAGTCGATGGGTGTTGACGACAACTGATTCACATGAGCGCGGAACAATGCATCGGCAGCAGCGTTGTTAGGACCGCCGATATAACGAACATCAACACAAAACTGCGAAAGATAGTCCAGCTTACGCGTTTCTCGGGGTGGGTAACAGTCCGAGGCAGAACGGAAAGCATACACCAGTGGCTTGTGATCTGCCAAGAGTATGAAGCGGCGTCCTTCTAAAAAGCGACGGAAATGCTTCACAGTCAAATAAACGGTGAGCAGTTCACGACCAAAGATGCTGTACCTGACCTGAGCAAGTTGTAGCTTCCGTGAGGAAAAGGACAGCGGTTAAAATTCGTTATCAACTAACTGTTGCAAAACTGCACCGACAGCGGAACCTGAAGCATCCGTCTTAAGGACAAGTGTAGCGTCCTCAGTGATGTTCAAGTGATGGAGAGACGCAAACTAACTAAACTTCTGCTTGACGGCCGTGAAATCTGCTTCAAAATCTGGGGTTATGGTTAACGTCTTTGAGATTCCTTTCAATAAGTCGGTAAGCGGATAAAGTAACTCATCACAGTTGGGGACGAATCTGTCGTAGTAGTTGATCATGTCGAGAAATCGGCTTAGGCTTCGGACAGATTGGGGCATTGGATAGTCGAGGATCGCTTGAGATTTATCCGTGAGGGGTTTAATACCTTCACCATCGATCTTGTGACCGAGAAACTTGACCGTTGGCTGACCAAATTTGCATTTGACGGGGTTGACGGTTATACCGTGGCTTTCAAAGCGTTCAAAAACCACCCGGAGGTGTGATAAATGCTCATCGGGTGTGACGCTTGCGATCAAAACCTCGTCAATGTAAACGTAGACAAAATCAAGGCCACGGGGGACCTGATCCATAAAGCATTGGAAAGACTGAGCCGCGTTCCGGATGCCAAATGGCATACGAAGAAATTCGTAAAGACCAAATGGAGTGATCACAACGGTTTTTGCGATGTCTTCCTCCGCCATTGGAATCTGGTGGTAAGCTCTGACCAGGTAGCGTTTGGTAAATATCAACTTTCCGGCTAGTCCAAGTAAGAAATCGTGGATATGAGGGATAAATAAATAAATAAATGGTATATTCTCTGTAAAACGTGACACACCTCTAAAAGGCATGATCAAAAATGCATACAAGCATAGCTTCTTTGGAATATTAAAACATTTCGTTACAATAAAAGGAATAAACGAAAAGATGTAGTTCATATGAGCGAGCATATTGTCAGGTACTAGTCAGATCAAGGACCATGATGGCGCTGTGGCACGCCAAAACTGTTGCGTCAAGATACAAGTGGGGGGTAAATTTGCCATGTAGTGATCCATGAGCACAGGAGTCCAAAAAAGGTTTAGTGCAATCAATGACCATTACGAAGCCGGGATGATCGGTACTCCACTAAAGCATTCTTCATAGTAAAATCAGTTGCACAGGTTCGATGTTGGAGGCTGAGAACTGCGTCAGTGTGAAACGTATACCTGTGACTTTATTTTGTGGCGAGTCACATCCGCCACGTTGCAGTGTTGTTAAGCGGACATTTATGGCTTTTTATAAGGAGAACGCTTGCCAGGCGAAAACCCACCACGTCCTGGAATACTGTCGTAGCTTCCGTTGAACTGTAGTGCTAGTCGGCTATGCATCGTATAGACCGATTTTGCACTCTATTATTCACAGTCGGTTGACAGCCAAAATTCTTCCTTGGTTGGCCAAATGGCTTAGTACTGAACCGGCAATAGTCATTGAAACCAGTCAATGATGTAAAAGAGTCGCAGTCGAATGATAATGATGCGGGTGAGTAAACACATTGTTAATAGAGGCCGGCTTTTGCTATTATACTGTCCGGCTCGCAACCCGTGTCCAGCTATCCATGCTGGACTTGCCATAGGGACGGTGAGTGCAGTTGTTTCATGTGTCTGAATATGTCCATAACATGAAAAATGCAATTCTCCGCAAAGTGGACTAGTAATTCCTTCAAATGTAAGTGTAATTGTCTTCATGGCTAAGTGAGAACTCCATGAAAGATCATCGAAAAAGCCGCTTATACGCGCGCAATGCTGTCCGTGAACTGACATCAGAAAAGCTCCAGGCGATTGGAGAATCGGAATGTGTGAGGCATTGAAGGTAATCAGGCCAGAATTGTCAGTCTTCGGTTGTGGAACAGTGGATCCATGTAACTACATTATTCCAGGTGAGTAAATTTTTCTACTGTGAGTACGTGGCGAGCTAAACCCATTTGTTTAGACCCCGTGGTAATAGCTTCTCCAGAATGGCGGAAAGAGCTCCATTTGGAACGATGTGTGGGTTCTTCATCTCCCGGAGAAAAGATCAAGCATGTAAATCAGCTGGCTATTGATGGTG